CATTAACAGTCTAGAAGAAACACACATATATTTCAGTATATTTTCTTCAGTTTTATTTGAGATATTTTATACTTCATTGATATTTATAATTTGAAAGACTCTTGAAAAATCTCAGGATAGATCCCTTAAATGTCAGTTACCTGACATTTTTTCTGTATCTTCTATCTACCATTTCTAAGTTTCACAGAAAAAATCTTATATTAGACTTTGGTGATGACCTGTTGTATCTTTACCCTCTTCATATATTTCATGTGCTTTGATTACAATCTCCTCAAGAGTTTATTTTCCCAAACTGGACATATCTCCTTTGTAGACCTTCTTAAAAAAATAATAAGCTGAAATTAGAAGGGGTGAGAGTTAAGTTACTTGAAAAATTGAAGGATAGTATGTCAGAGAGAAAAACACAAAGACATAAAGAAAAGTGAGGAAGAGAATCAAAGTGGGAGAATTAGGACAGAAAGGTTTTTTCATTGAAGGAGAGGGGTTTCCCTGCTAGTTTCTTCGTCATTTGTATGACTTTCTTTACTTCCTCCTCATTTCAAGAACTATAGTGCCATTCTCACGCGTGTACTTTAGTATTTACGTTCCTAAAATGTTGACTGAGACAGAGAGAAATTACTCACACATTACTGATGAAAACTCTGGAAGTTTAGCCTCTGGTGAGGTGTTTTGCCGACCTGCCTTACCCCCACCTGTTCTGAACATGGTCACATTATTACATCCCCAACTGGCATTTTTGCAGAAGGACATTTTTTGGCAATTTGACTGATGTATATGTTGTACTGCCATCTCTCCCACCGCAATAAAGTTCATAGTACAACCCTCTCAGTTCATTACAACCTGTCACTGAAAATGGATTGCCTCATTGCTATAAAACTCATGTTCCATGCATTAGCATCAGAGTAACAGCAACAGCTGATATAAAACCATCATGGAAAGTCAGAAACTACATGAAAGTGGGATGGATGGCTGAGGAATCAGTTAGAATAAACTAGGTAGGTTCTTAAACAAGTAATATCCTTTTAGGAAATCTGATGAGTAGTATGAGATGGTTTCAGACCTTTCTGAAACAGAAATGACATTCTACTCTGGTTATGCACTCACTCCATGACCAATCTTTGCACATTATCATCACCCATTCTGATCCATTCTGAAACCAAGTGCAAATGGCCAGTCTCTTACAGCCAGGTACCATAACTTAACATCTTTCTGCTTTTTCATTTCTTACTTATTAGGGCACCAATTCCTTCATGTCATGAAGTGTTCTAGGCTTTTAAAACTGACATTTAACTCACTTCTAATACTATCTAGCTAAAATATAATAAAATTATTTTGCATTATTGAAATTTCATAATCACCTTTTGTTTATGACACGGGAAGTGATACTGATTTATATTTAAAATAATGGCAGACAATTTCTAAACAAATTTACATAAGTGAAAAAGTTATTTAAGTAAACATAAAGAAAAGTATTAAGCAAATAATACCAGGGTTTTATGTTTATACGGAAAAATTTTGAAGATCGTATTCAATAACACACATTTTGAAACACCTGTCCATTGGAAAGAGTGCCGTACTGATGTTAGTAAACCTGACATTCTGTCATTTACTATCAGGAAGATATCAGAGAAGTCATGTAATTTCCATATGCTTCAGTTGCTTCATGAAAAAAAAGAAGTTGACCTTCAATAATCTTTCACTGAATAATAATAGCCACCATTATATGACTACTTTTATGGTTCGGACTATGCTAAGTGCACTACATAGGAACTCTCACTTGATTTAATCATCACTACAATCTTGCAAAGGAGATTGTCACCTTCATTTTACAGATCATGAAAGAGACTCAGAGAGATGAAGTAACATTCTCAAGACTGCACAGCTTGTTACTGATAGAGTGTGGATGGACTCAGGCCCAGCTTTGTCTGACTCTCAACCTGTGTTTCCAGCTTTCTGAGGGTTGCCCACATCTCGGACCCTATTGCAACACCAATGGCAAATATCATCCTGCAAAATCTCTCCAAAGGACTCAATTCAAAGGTTCCTGGAGCTGGGTTAACAGGAAGAAAAATTACAAAGGGCAGCATAGTTCTATATTATTCCTTAAATGTAAATTTTAGGATTAAAAAAGTAACTCATCTTTATGGTATAAAATGCAGAAAGCACAGAAAAGTATAAGGAAGAAAAAAAATAGCACTTCTTATTCTACCACGCATGAAATACCACTTAGCCGTATTTCCTTCCTGTCTTTGTCCCATATATGTATGTTCAACTGCCTAACTCAGTTCCTGGAGCAGTGGAACCTCATTTAAGGACGAATAAAATTTTAGCTGATTATCTTCAGTCTTCCTATTATACCCCTCTGCCCCTTTAGCTACTACAGGAATGACACGAGTACTTTTTCTTGAGCACCTATTATATCAAAGTATATTGCTAGATAATTCCATCCTCATGACCCCTTTATGAAGCAAATACTGTTTTATCATTATTGTTATTTTGTAGATGAAGAGACCGAGGCTTAAAGGGTAAAGCAATCACCTTGCCCAAGGTCACACTAGTTACAGTTACACACATGATCAATATGATCAAGCCTCTGCCTAGAGTCACTAGGAAGTATTGCTTGCATGGCAGTGACTCGGTTTAGAGTGAGCATTTGTAGTCCCTAGAAAGCACCACCAGCATTGCATGGACAACAGAGAAGTGTCCAAACTCAGCAATTCGGAGCCTTGGCACAAGTTCCAAACTGTTTTCCTCTAAATTTTCACTAAAGAACACTAAGGCCCTCTGATATATCAATGGTATCTTAAGGAATAACCCTAGGAAACCAAAGATTCTCATGTTAAGCAAGGAAACTAGACTGATAAATGAACATTGAATTCGCTTTCCATAAAAAAGATCTAGAAAAAAATTACGTAACAGAAAAAACCTAGGAAAATTACACATCATAAAAGGGGTCCCCTGCAAATGTCAGAATATAGTTGCAGTTTTAATGTCAGCATCCTGATTTGCTTTTGGTTATTCTTCAGCTGTAGAATATCACTGCTGAAACAGAAAGGTGTGTCTCTCCATTAAATTGGCCCTCTGTCGAAAGACAGATACCATATGTTTTCACTCTTATGTGGATCCTGAGAAACTTAACAGAAGACCATGGGGGAGGGGAAGGAGGAAAAAAAAAAAAAGAGGTTAGAGTGGGAGAGAGCCAAAGCATAAGAGACTCTTAAAAACTGAGAACAAACTGAGGGTTGATGGGGGGTGAGAGGGAGGGGGGTGGGTGATGGGCACTGAGGAGGGCAACTTTTGGGAGGAGCACTGGGTGTTGTATGGAAACCAATTTGACAATAAATTTCATATATTGGAAAAAAAAGCCTTCATAATAAAAATAAATAAATAAAAATAAATTGGCCCTCTGTCTACAAGTAGACTGAATCAAAACCCAGACATAGAAAACCCCTCACAATGGAGTAATGGCTGATAAATTCTTTAGTATAAAGAGGTGCTATGACACTGCATCTGACGGCACTGAAGTTGACTGTTAAAAACAATGTATTAGATATGTTCTGTCAATCCAGCATATGTGGACAGCAGGTTGCTAAAACAACCAATAATATCAACACACATCCTAAAGGTTAAGTCATTAAAATTTTAAAGAAAAAATTATATAGGCTTTTTATATTAGGCTTTTTAACTGCATAAAGTACAAATTAGATTAATCACTTACTCCAATGTTGAATTCATTTTGGGTTTTAGTATGTGTTGAAATTGGGAGGAAAACAGATTTTTGTCAATATCCTGGGAAGTGATTTAATGCTAGCCTGATTCTATAGATGAATAAATTATTTAAGATGACTTGACTCTGGAAAATGAAAAGCCACTCTGAATATTTCATTAGATGGCACATGTGAAAGTAAACATAATTCAGATACATTGATATTTGGACACAAACAATTCTCAGTGAATTGATTGTCTTTCCTCATTCAAAATAAAGGCTCTGAATATTTCTGGGGATTAAATTTACTTTAAAGCCATTCAATGAATAATTTAAAGAAAATCTTCCAATATCCTCCAATCTAAGTATACAGAGAAGTCAATAATTCAATGGTTAGTGTACAAAGATTTTCCATCACACATCTCTTTTAAATAAGAGATTTCTATTTATTTTTTCAAATGAGTCCAAAGAAACTTGCTCAATATAAAACATTCTGATAAAGTTCCTAACCCAGCCTTCTTTCTGAAAAGAAAAAATGTTTGCCTCTAAGACTTAACTGCAAAAAAAATGTGGTCTCTACATGTAACAATAAAGTGCAGGGGAAAAAAATTGGAGGCTGTTGTGTGTGGGTTTTTTTCCAAACTCTCCCATTATATGTCATTGTGATTCGAAGGTGGGTTTAACTTCTCAAAAGTCTGATCACTGTTAAACCAATTAGATTGTCTGTCAGGTCCTGAAACCTGTCACCTAATAGCACAGAGCCGTCATCACTCAAGGATTTCAACTACACGTCTCATCAGGGTAGCTGAGCAAACGCTGACAGGGAAGAAACCCTGTGAGTACATGTTTTAAAAGTCAAGTAAATTATTTAAATGCTCTGTCAGAATAGGCAGATGTGATGTGAATTGGGAATCAAGGGAATCTGGACCCCACTGAAGTTTCAATGTAAAAGAAATATATAGCAGTCCCCCATTATCCACAGATCTGTTCCACCCCCCAACCGCCACCATGGATGCCTGAAGCCGCGGATAGTACTGAACCCTATATATACTATGCTTTTTTCCTATACATATGTACATACTTACAATAAACTTAACTTATAAATTAGGCACAGTAAGAGATTAATAATAATAACAACTAATAATAAAATAAAACAATTATAGCAATGTACTATAATACTACACTTGATCTTAGCCAAGAGGCCGGGAAGCCATCACAAAAATGTACTGTAATAAAAGTTACGTGAATGTAGTCTCTCTCTTTCTCTCTAAATATCTTATTGCACTATACTCACCCCTTTTCTTATGACGATGTGAGACGGTAAAACACCTATGTGATGCGATGAAGCGAAGAAAATGACGCAGGCACTGTGACGCAGCGCTAGGCTACTGTTGACCCTCTGATGATTCGTCAGAATTGTCTGCGTCCTGTCGGAAGTAACGAAACTGCGGATGAGGGAGGACTACTGGATGCCTTTTCATTCAAATTACACTATTCTCCAAGTCGCTTGATTCCAGGCTGGGATTGACCTTCCTGGTGTATCATCACCTTGTAGACCATTCCTTGGTTAACATTAACAAACGTTAATTTTAACATTAACAAATGCTTGCTTTGGGGCCGATGTGCAGTAAAATAGCAAAGGTGTGTCTTTTGTCGTAGGTTCAAATCCTCTGTTGCATTACTCAACCCTCTTAAGCTTCTCTTTTAGGTCTTTGTCCATGGGTTTTTGAAATAGCAATTTTAGAAATCTACTTTATAATGTGGCTATGAGGATTCTGAGATTAAATATACAATATAGATGTTAATTTTTGTTATTAATTTGCATTGGTTTATGAAAATACAACTGGATGTTAGAAATCACAATCTCTGGGTCTAATACCACTTCCATTTACTGCCTGTATGACCCTAAGCAAAACATGTCATCTCTACATGTCATCTTTAAAATGAGAGTAATAATATCTGTCCTGCTTGTATCTCAAAAATGTTGTGTGAATCAACTGAATAATATAAATGAAAGAGCTTTATGGATAATAAGATAAAACTCTAAGGCATTTTTAGTAACAAATAAGCTAAAAATAAAGTAAATCGAGTAACCAAATGAAAGAGAGAATAGTTACTGGGGCTTCTCCTTTCCAGACTTTTCTCTCAACCATGCCAAAAGGTTTTGGGTCACTTTAGAAGCTTTTCAAAACATTTCCTCGGAGCATGAAGACAAGGAATCTTTGATTATTGCTCCTTGTTTCAGCCAAGAATAGTTTTTTAACCAAATTATAACGTGAAGGAAAGGCAGACACAGCATATTTGTGTCCTAATAGTTAGACACACATCTCCTTGAATTACAAACTTCAGAGAAGTTGTTTTGACCTATCCTTTTCCTCAGAGACATAAACAAATGATAATCAAGTTTCTCCTGAGCTGATTCTTTACTTTACTAGTGACTAAAATCTATTTAAAGAAGGAAAGTGAGTAGTAATAATGAGAACAGAGGATGCTAGAAGAATTAGAAATGTAATGGAATATGGTGGGGGGGGGAATAACAATGACTTCATCCTGTTAAAAAATGAAGCTAGAATGCTATATATAGAATATAATCCTCAAATGTTAAGTCAGTAAAAGAGAATGATCATACTGCTTCCGTGGATGGCAGAAAAGCATAGTGATTCAAAGCACTGGTTTTGGAGTTGATCCATTTGGATCCATTTCAAGATCCACCTCTTACTAGAATGTATTCAACTTCACCAATACTCAGTCTCTTAATCTGTATATCAGGAAAAATAAATCGAGGGGCTATGAGGATTCAATCAGATATGACATGCTTACACTTAGCCCATTTCCAGGAACACATTGATGCCCAGTATATTGACATTATTACAACTAAGGTGAGGATGATGATAAATCAGGAAATGGTTTAGTCCCTGTATTGGTTTCATAGGCTGCCATAACAAATTACTACAAACCTTGTGGCTTAAAATAACAGAAATTTGTTGTCTCACAGTTCTGGAGACCAAAAGTCTGAAATTGAGGAGTTGGTATGGCCATGCTCTTTCTGAAGGCTCTAGAAGGGAGAATCTATTCCATACCTTCCTCTTAACTTTTGGAGTCGCCATCAATCCCTCCTGCTCCTTGGCTTGTAGACACATCACTCCGATCTCTGTCTCTGTTATCACAGGGCATTCCTGCTACATGTTTTTCTCTGTGTGTCTTCTCTTCACATAAGAATACCAATCACATTGGATTAAAGGCCTATCCTTATTTAACTATGATATCATGTTAACTTAATTAAATCTGCAAATGCCATATTGCCAAGTAAGGTCACATTTATAGGTACTGAGGGTTAGGACTTCAACATAGCTTTTTGTGGGACACAATTCATTCACAAAAATCCCTAAAGAAGACATTAGACATGATGGACTCACACTTAGGCTTTTCCCCCAGGCACATTCTGCATAATTCTGGAAGATACTGCATTTGGTTCTGCAACATTCCTAACCATAAATAATTTAAATGTCAGAAATCATTCAGAATGAAACACAAAACAATTTAAGAAGTGGAAGAGCTGCCTAATAAGGAAATTTAACAAGAGTGAAATAAGTATGTTGGACAAGCAAAATCCACTGGGAAAGAGTGAGAAGTTCGAACCAGTCCAAAAAACAGAATGAGATATTATTCAGAAAGGATTAAGAGTAACAAACGGGGTAAAATTAAATGAAGAGATGATTTAGAATGAGAACCAGGGGATTTGTTAGGCTAACAATAGTTCTAATGAATGATGGTCAGACAGAGGAAGTAGTGAAATTATGATCTTTTTAGTCATTAAAAATAGGGAACATGGCATAGGAATTAATTATGGCTCAGCAAGCTGAAGATGTTTATCAATTCCTTGATTTTACATACACCTACATCAGTCTTCTACATCAGGTATGGGAGCCCTCATCCCATCTCAGGATGAAGAGGAGAGCAGCGGTGATATAACAAACAGAAGGTTAAGAACACTCTACCTCTTTCTGTTCCCTGTCTTCTAGACCTCATCAGAACACCAGCTCCAATTCTATCACTGATGCCTTATGCTATAAAGTCTACCTTTGCAGGTTCTTCTGAGAGTAAGTGAATTCGCCTAGATAAAATCCTTAGCACAGAGACAGGCACATGGTGGGTTCTCCATAAAGGACAACTACCTGCTTAGACTGTGATCTTCATTTTCAAAGCCTATGGTGCCTTTTTGTGTCTGTGTGTGTGTGACAAAGTACGCCAGCTCTTCTATGCATCAATCATGCAACACGCATTTGTTCAGTATGTGCTATGTCACCCAACAGACCTACTATGTGCCCAGCACAGGGATGGACTGGATAAGGGATTTAAAACTAAGCATAGTGAACATTCTCCATCTCAGAAAATTTCCTACCTCTACACTGTACCTCACTGCAATTTGAGACATTAGAGGCTAATTTTATGGCTTTTGCATATGCTATAACATAACCTTGAAGGGTTTTTTGTTTTGCTTTGGTTTTTTTTGTTTGCTTGTTTGTTTGTTTCTTTTGGCAAATTACTCTCTTCATCTCAGTAAACAAAGCAGTGTCAGGAACATTATGTAATCCATTTTCCTCACTCAATAAACTCAGCAAAGTACATCTAAAGGGTCTGAACTCATTAGAGCAGGGCTAACAAAGTGTCTACCACCTAGCATATATACAGAGGCTGATTTTCTGTGGGCACTGAATATATACACGTGTATGGTGTCTAGGAAAGGACTCAGGAATTATGTTTCAGGGAGGGAACGTTCTCCCTCTGTCGGTTCAAAACCTTAGGAGCTCCCTGGGTGAAATTGGCAACTGGCCCACAGACACAGAGCCAAGGAGAGAGAGAAGACAGAAGCCGGCCACCCCAGACTCATGGGCGGCAGTTTTAACAAGCAAGGGAACTCACGAGGCTTTCATCTTTGGTGACTACAAATGAGAGTAAATCCGCACACCTGCCTGCCAGACTCTTAAAAGTTTATAGAGAGGTTCTAACAGGGTTCAGCCACATATATCCTCCAGATGGTCTCAACAACACATTGCTCTCTCCTTCCTTGGCTCCTAGTGCAAGAACAGTTGGTGGAGCCACATTCCAGAGAACTAAAGTGTTTTTTTAAAACTCCACTGATAGCTAGAACTTCAAATCAATTATTATTCAATCTTAACACTCTTTTAGTAGGAATCACAAGATTGTAAGCGAAACAGGATAATAAGAGAAAAGGCTTGGGAATGATTTAGAACTCATCAAACTAGGTGTCTTCACCCATTGCCCTACGTTTAGAAGGACCTCCTATTTTTCTACATGAATGAAGTAGGCTCACATTTCTTACGTGCTCACAAAAGCAATCTTAAGAACAGCAAAGAGGAAATGTGATACCAATTTGAATCTGAGCCGGACATTAGTGTTTTATATACTCTAGTTTGCACAAGAGGTTCTCAGAGAAATGGAAATAGTCTAGAATAAGTTGGGCATCTCATAACAAATCTATGGTGCAAGTACGTATTACTACTTTCTCCATTTTACCAATGAAGAAACTGAGCCGGGGAGAGTTTCAGCAGCTAGCCCCGGGTCACAGAACTAGTAAGTGACGTACTCTGGATTCCAGCGAAGGAGGTCTGACCCCTCTCTGAGGTCTATCAACTCATGTGACTGAATCACAGGTGCAGCTGAGCACGCCGGGAGATGTTGAGAAAAGCATTTGGGGACCAAAGTGAAGTGGCCTTGACTATAAGATACAGAGATGATGATTAATTCCACATGAAAGGATTACCGAGGTAGACATTTTGAACAGGACATACTGAGTCCCCACTTCTCTGCATCATTAGAAAGATGAACAAGAATATGCTCCTTTGGCTGGGTCAAATGTAGCCTGTTCCTCTGAATTTCTGGAACTCTTGTCTTTCTGCATCTCCTGGCTGGGCTATAGAAGCATACACAATTACCTTCTGATGAAGGCTTCAAAATCAATTCAGCTTCTGCTTAAAATGCATAAAGCTGCAACAGAACATCGCTCCCCCCCTAACAACTAGAAAAAGTCAGATAGTCTACAAAATCATAATTTTTCTTGAGGCCATCAGGGAGTTGAGGTTACAAGGCATCAAACAAAGTACAAATGGTACCAAGCTCCTCAGAGGAGGAAGGTCATATGACTATCACCTTTGGAAAAGCCTGGGAAGAAAAGTTGACCACCATAAAAGCAGGTAAGAAAAAGCGGAAGAAGAAGAAAAAGAAAACAGCTACAATTTTAATGACTTTTCAAAGGCCAAATGTGGTCTACCAGCTACCAGCTTAGAACAAAAATTTGAAGTGGCATGGGAGGGATAGGAAATATTCCTACCCCCAGGGACCATGTAAAATCCGTTTCTCAGGGAGAGGTAGAGGCAGAGTCCCTGAGGGAGAGGGAGGTCCTTCCAGTCCCCACTAAGAGTCTTGCACTGAGTAAGCAGTAGGCATCTTTAGCTAGAGGAGAGGCAGGGCTGAGGAGGAATAAATAGCCTTGAGGGGAGGGAGGGTTACTTGGCTTCAGAGTACTGTACGAGTACAAAACACAGGTCTGTTACCAGTCAGAGGTAGGGTCACCTGTTATTGAACTATAATTTAGCCTATCATAACTTAATCATCTGCCTAACCTGAATCAACATTATGGAAAAAAAGGGAACTATAGAGTCAATATTGGGAATCTGTACTAGCTCTTGAAATATAGATAAGAGCAACTGTTTCTATGATGGATTTGGGGCTGGAACATCAGTTTCCTGACCTCATTTGTATGATCCTAAGAGTACCCTGAAATTTATACTTCCAAGAAAAATGTTCTAAATATAATGCAATCTTTCAGGAATTTTAATGGTCCATTATTCTGTATCTGTTTGTTGTTGTTCACAAAATTCACCCTTCTAAAAGTTTGTTGCGTAACATTAAAATATTTTTACTTAATGAAAATTGTTTCATTTGAGAATCTGGGGGAATTCTTAAACATTCCTGGAACAAACCACTCCTTTTTTTCTGGCTGTTGGCTTCCTTTGTGACTTTTTCTTAACCTATGTAGCAGTGAAATAGGGTGTGAGTAAAGCTGAAGAACTACAAGGAAGATTTTCCAAGCCCTCCCAAGCTTCCTGCCTCGAACTCACCAATGAGCACGAGCATGAGAAGCTAAAGCTAACCCAGCCCTTCTCTTTCTTGCCAACATGTCCACAATGTTTAATAACCACCACCAAATATTCTTTGCCCAGTCTTCAAGCAGTTCTTGGCAGTGGGAATTTAGCCAATTTTTGTCCCTTAAAATTTACCCATAGCAAAGTATAATTTCTTTTTTGCTAAGTGAAGGAATCTGAACTCATTTTTTGGCAAAGTATTTTAAAATGTGAATTAAAAAACAAAAGACTCAGCAAACATTAATAGAATATCTTCTATATTCAGCTCAACAAGGTATTTTTGAAATGTGAAACCTTTAATAGGTTTAACAGATAATTATGTAGTAGTACAAATGTGCCAGACACTGTTCCAAGCGCTTCATAAATATTTACTCACTTAACCCTCTAATAACTGATGGCAGGAGATACTTATTTTGCAGATAAGTAAACCAAGTGTCAGAGAAGCAAAGTAATCTGTCCAAGGTCACACAGCTGGTAAGTCAGAGAATAGGATTCAAAACCAGGCCATCTGGCTGCAGACTGCAGAGACCTATGACAAAGTTTATGATTATAGGAAGAAGAGAAATGTGGAGGCTCTGTGGGGAGAAATAACCACAGTTTCATAGCCTTTATAGGAAAACCAATGAGAATTATAGTGATATTAATATATTCAAACATCAAAGCCAAAGGAGTCCCCATTAATTTCTGAAAAGCTCAACTCCAAGGACCTATGGCTTCCCTCAGATCTCAATTACCTGTGATAATTGGTTGAAGAACAGGTATGCAGAAATACAAATGGGAAACAAGTGTTTCTTGATATCTAGATACAAATGTGCCAAATAAATCTCAGTCTAACATGTATAATTTATTTCAGCTTAGATTGGAGGTAAACTAAGTTATTATTCCTAGAAATAGCCAAGTAGATAAGGCATCCACTTGCAGTGAAACTCTTTTGGTGCATCCAGGTGGCAACATTCAAACTATAGAAGAAAGGAAACTCTATTTTGGGTTTTTACTGGCCACTCCAAGACAGCATGTCCCCCTGCGTCACGCAAGAGCATTCAGTGATGAATTACACTGTGATACTTCTAAAACTTGAGTTTTCCTATATAGTCTTGTCTCCATACATGTTGTAAATGCAGTTGTCCTCTCTTATCTATGGAAGGTATGTCTCAAGACCCTCACTGGATGCCTGAAACCACACATAGTACCAAATCCTATATATA